ATGATGGTCAGAACGTCTATTATGCCAGAATTGTGGCGCTGTTTCCCTATCCCCTATACCCCCCCCCCTCACACATTCATATATCCCAAAATGGTCCATTCTGCTTGTTGTTGTTGTTGTTGTTGTCACTTTGATGTTGTCTGGGCCCATTGTGTTCTTGTTGGGGTGGCCGGAATTTCCACTGGCCCAATGCAGTCTACGAAGACATCGGCGGAGGTGATGTGGTGTGCCAGCAGTCGCCTGGAAACTAGCTTGTTTGAGCTCGAGTTTGAGCCGGACTCGAAATTGGTCTAAAAGTGCGTGAGCGAGTTGCACAACATGTGATAGCCAACTGTGAAGTAGAACAATGTGAGGTGGCGCTTTTCAGGCCACGCCCAGGCACTGGAGGTGGAGGTCTTTTGTCTGTCCTGTAGGCTTGTATTGTGTGTCATTGCAGGCAAAAGGAACTGTGTCAACCCACACTGCTGGTCGGAGAGACTGTCGATAGGGCAATCAGATAATTGGCGGTTAAGACAATACATGTACCGACCTGATTTTGGAGACGGCTTGGTCGAGGCCATCCGTGAATCTAGGCCCCAAACGAGGTGGTTAGCGTTATGCTCTTTGGGCTGCCTTGAGATGACTCTACCCCACATTCTAATTCCCCTACTCCTCCTCATCCTCCTACTCCCTCTTCATCTCCTCGTCAAACTGCTCTTCTTCTTCCCCCTTTATTTTCTTCTTTTCCTCCTACTCCTTCATATCTACTTCCTCCTCTTCCTTTTTCTTTTCTTCTTCTTCCTCCTCTTTCATATCTTCTTCTTCTTTATCCTCCTCCTTCATCTCCTCTACTTACTCATCTTCATTCATCTCTTCTTCTTATTCCTCCTCTTCCTTCAATTATACTTATTTCTCTTCCTTCATCTTCACATCTTCTTTCTCCTCTTTCATATCTTATTCTTATTTCTCCCCATAAATCTCTTTTATTTCTCATGTTGCTTCATCTCCTCTACTTCCTCCTCTTCATTCATTTCTACTTCTTCCTCTTCCTTTAGCTTCACTTCTTATTCCTACTCTTTCATTTCTTCGTTTTTTTGCTCCTGCTGATTCATTTCATCTACTTCTTTATCTTCCTTCATCTCATCTTCTTCTTCCTCCTCTAACTTAGGCTTTTCTTTTTCCTCCTCTTTCATAATTTCCTCTACGTCCTCCTCTTCCTTTATCTCCTCTTCTTCTTCCACTTCCTCCTTCATCTCTACTTCCTCATCTTCCTTCATTTCTTCTTCTTCTTCCTCTATCATATGCTATTCTTCTTCCTCCTTCTCCATAATCTCCTCTACTTCCTCCTCTTCCTTTATCTCCTCTTCTTCTTCTTCTTCTTCTTCTTCCTTCTCTATCATATTCTCTTCTTCTTCCACTTCATCCTTCATCTCTACTTCCTCATCTTCCTTCATCTCTTCTTCTTCTTCCTCCTCTATCATATCCACTTCTTCTTCATTCTCCTTCTTCATCTCTACTTCTTCCACTTCCTACATCTCCACTTCTTATTCCTCCCCTATCATATTCTCTTCTTCTTCCACTTCCTCCTGTATCTCTACTTCCTTATCTTCCTTCGTCTCCTCTTCTTCTTCCTCCTCTATCATATCCTCTTCTTCTTCATACTCCTCCTTTATCTCCTCTACTCCCTCCTTTTCCTCCATCTCCTCTACTTCCTCATCTTCCTTCATCTCTACTTCTTCTTCTTCCTTCAGCTTTACTTCTTATTCCTCCTTTTTCATATCTTCTTCTTTATCTTCCTCCTTCATCTCCTCCTCTTCTTTCTCCTCTTCCTTCAACTATACTTA